TGTGGTGAGATAGTCATTTTGTGTTGTGGATCCAGGCAATTAACTATATCAATTTCATATTCTTCCAGCAACATTATTCAATGTGCTAACATCCCCTTCGTAGTTTTAAAGTTTACAAACTACTTCATAGAAATGTGGTCCACCCAGGTGGTGAGCTTTCCACCATACAAGTAATGGTAATTGTATTTAATAAAGACAACAGCTCTTTCTTTCTCACACAGTACATGTATTTGGGATTCATGAGTATATGATTAGAAAAGATGATTACATATTACACTTCATCCTCATCACTGATGTAAGTGTCCAATAGAAACTCAGTCTAGGCACGGATACGCCAGCAATGGAGCATCCACCAAAGCAAGCTTTAGTGATTGGAATATGTTAGCACACTCGTTGCTTCATCCTTCAAAGCTGACAACGGTGCTGTTATTTTCTAGAAGTTAGCTACAAATCCTAATAAATACGATGCAAAACCAATGAAACTGTGGACTTCTTGTTTTGTCATAGTCAAGGCTAATTTCTCACTACAGTTATCTTACCTGGGTCAGTCAAGACTCCATCTCTCCCCTCAACATGGTGAAAAACTCCACTTATGTTTGCACCTGCTTTAGTACCATCTTCAGGTACATAGATGTGGACTCAAAAGTGAAGCCAGACAAACAATGTCAACAAGACCAAGCATCTTTCCCATGTGTAAGCTCCATCGGCTGCTTAAAAGTAGAAAGTACTTGGTGTATTACACAGAATGAATAGCATGTCCCAGAATTCATACAAACTATCTGTCTTGTGCTAAGAGCAAACCTAACTTGCTTTTTTTCATCCAGGTCAACTTACCAGTATTCTGACATCAGATCTAGAGTTTTCTGGTGCATTTGATACAACATACATTGCTTGTTATTGGCCATTCCAGACCTGCTGATTTGAAGCCAGTACTGTTAACTCTGCCTACTTTTCTGCTTGGAAATATGCTGACATTGTGGGTTGGCTGGCATCTGCTGGGCCATTGGCAGAAACCAATAGCTCTATCATCTTTGCTGCTCAGAAGAATAAAGGCACTTCCTCCACTAGTCCACAAATGAAGCAGACACTTCGTCCTTCTCATCTTTGACGATGTCCAGGTGGATGCATTGGCTCCATGAGTTGATTTTGTGACAACATGTACTCTTGCAGTGGCATATATCCAATGGGCATACCTTGCTATAGTGTATACTCTACAGGTTGACCTTGCTGTGGAATGTACCCCAATGGACCTGCTCACTTACTGAAGACCAACGTGCCTGACTGCAGAACCAACATTTGTGGGCAGCTAGTTGTTAACCCTTCAACTGAATTTGGCCCAACATGATTGAGGTACCTGGATATTCCCATCTATTGGTAAATTTCTACTATAGCCGCCATTTCAGGCATCGTCCTTCCCAATGGAAACTGCTTCTGCAAGCGAGAGGATGTCCCTCAGTACTAAGTGCTGTCAGATACACTCATTAAGAGGTCTCTTAAAGAACGTATATGCCAAAATATTTTTCCAATCTGCAGATGTATTGTCAAGTAAACCTTCCTATGCAATTAGTACAGATTGTCTACATAAGCAGACAATTTATCAGTGCCAATTCTCTGCAGAGCCTTGAACTTAGCCAAATAGATCACATAATTCTCCACCAAGTCGAATAACTATGCAACTTGAGCATGACTGTCTTCCAGTTGTCTTGCCACTGATCGTCCAGGTGCTCAACAGGATCAAGAGCCAGACTGTCTAAGCTCAAGACCAAGAATCGAACAGCCTGTTCCCAAATCCATCCATTTAAGGCAAAGACTTGCCTGAAATGCTTTAGAAAGAGGCCCAAGTCCTCGTTTGATACCTCTTTGAACATCAAGGGAATTATCTGCTTTGTGTTTCTCATAGAGACCTGAGCAGCTGGCTAAAGCCTCTCCCTATGGGATCCCGATGCATGCCTGGCAAAGTTGCCACCGATGTCATCAGCTCCAGACAGAAGCTTCTTACAGGGATGGCAACATCTAGATAGGTGGTTGGTCCTTGGTCTAGGGCTACAGGATAATAATCTATTTGTGGAGGCTCATTGTACAACCCTGAACAACCACATATATCATTAGCTGTTGTCAATGTCACACTTTTGAAATGTACTTCACCCCATCATTTATGGCTTTGACCTGTTGGCACCCATTGTCTAACTTGCTGTGGAAACAACACTGACCGGCAGAGATATTCCACCAGTGGCACATTCAGCCTTTCTTCCCTGGTCACCAGTGGTTGATCCAGAGTTGGGATAGTGGTGCTAACTCACATTAGCTTAGAAGCCCTGTGGAGACCTTCCCACATGGTCTCAAAAAAACCACGTGCTATTCTATTTCAATTGCCCTCAGTCATCTACATTACCTTTCTGCTAAAATTGATCCTCAGGGGTATTGTCTGCTTGAATGAGCTGAATGCTCCAGATGAACAAATCCCCTAGATTGGCAATTGGAGGCTGACTAATGTCATAGAGCTTTGTGTCATGGGTGAAATTCCTATGTCCAGAAAAGGGCTTCTCCTTAATGAGACATCTCTCCTGTTCAAGTGTTTTCCTCCTTCTCGGTCATGACTTCTTCTGCTTACAGAAAATGCCATTCTGTGAGTGAGAAGTGTTCCTTTAAACTATTTTGCCTCAAGAGTTCAAATAAGGGCTAATATACAGTTTACCAAAACAGAATATTCACAATAAATCCTGTTGTTCTTGCACCAGAAATTCTTCTTCCTATCTACTTATGGTATTTTCGGGTAAATTGATTTCCCTACAAGTATCAGATGGCCAGATATGCTAATAACAGCAAATACGACAAGGAAATGTGTAACGTACTGTATACAATTATTCAACTGCATTTCTCAGTATATGTGAAATAAGAAGATTGGATAAGTTTGATGAAATGAACAAAATTTATATTTTACAATCAAACAAATAGAAAACACAATGTTCATGCTTGCATAGACACAATCACAGGCGATACTTCTAATAGACTTCACAGCTTTCACTCTCTCAGGATTGATCTCTGCAGAACTAAAACACAATGATCTACAATTAGTGTCTTTACTGGACAGTCTCCTACTAGAATTGATATAAGGAAACGTGCTTCATTTCTACAGGAAAACTCAGTTTTTGCCTAGTCAACAGCATCACCTCGAGACTCTTGTTCTCTCACAGCATTGGTCAGCTATAACATATAGAAAATGTCAATTCTACCAGCATCTGGTGCATTCAACATAGGTTCTATATGTTACTGCAAATCCCCTTGGGCAGAATAGATGTTATCTACTATAGAAAACAAATAAACCAAGCAACTAGAAGACAATCGCAACAATTTTCTGCACCACGTAATTATGAAAATCACACAGAAACAGTCTATACAAAATACTTTAAAATTATTATATATTATATAAAAGCTTTGCTTTTGTTTGCTTGTAGTTAAACACAAAGCTACACAATGGACTATCTGTGATATGCCCACCATGGGTATTGAAACCCATTTTGTAGCGTTATAAGCTTTTAGACTTATTGTTGTTCCACTGGGGGCAAACAAAAAGGAGGTAGAAAACATATGGTATGCTTGCATACAGCAAAGTGTTCAATAGTGTGTAGTGAGCTGAAAAGAGTAATGTGAAGACTATTCAAAAGCTCTAATAAACTCTGTTTAATCCCATGTTAGTTAAACTGAAAATTCAGCTTAAACCAAAAGTGAAACTCTAAAGTTACCATTAACCAAAACCATAAAGTAAGCTCCCTGGTGGCTCAGCGGTAAGTCTGGAGGCTTATATAATGCTAAAATCCGAGTGTTGATGTCCATGGTTGGCACAGCACAGATAGCCCATTGTGTAGCTTTATGCCTAACAAACAAGCAACAAGGTAAAATTAAATCAGTTTAGAACAAAGCTATGCTTGCTTTACAGCAAAC